CTAAACTGCTGTAAGATGAATGGGTGGATCTAAACTTCTGTAGACTGAGGGGTGGGTCCAAACTGCTGTAAACTAAATGGGCGGGCTAAACTGCTGCAAACTTAATGGGTGGGCCCAACGTGCTGTAGCTGAATGGTGGGGCTAATCGCCTGTGAGCTGAATGGTGGGGCTAAACTGCTGTAGACTGACGGGGTGGGTCTAAACTGCTGTAACTAAATGGGCAAGGCTGAAGTGCTGTAGGCTAAACTGTATGTTTTGGGGAGTGAACGGTACATTTTTAGAACTTTAACAATGTTTACAAACTACATTAAATTCTGAAGACCAGTTTTGTCTTTTGTATGGAATTTTGTTTTGTTTGCACCAAAAGTATGAACCAAAAAAGTCCCCTCTGATCCAGTAATCTTAGGTCCGCCCACTCTTTCCCACCAAGTCGGACTGGTTTTGGAAGGTTCTCCTCAAGAGAAGGGAGGACTACTTTTTACATGTGGGCAGATTAGGACGAATCTAAAGAGGCCTGTGGGAACAGCTAAGAAAACACTAATCATAATTTATAAGTGTAGCAGATAAACAATAAGCAGTCGGAGAGAAACGGTGGATTGGTTCCCGCACACACTCCCATACAGACCTTCCTCTGCAGGCTGAGTCATCTCTCACAGCCCGGCAGATGGGGAGCAGCACCACATTCAAGCAATACTTCAGCAGAAAATCGCCCAACTTCCTCTCTTTACCCTAAACATCGTCTATCAGCCAAGACATGTTTGGCGCTTCTTTAGTTTCAGCACTCAAGCCTTGAGGCTAATGTAGCTAACAAGTAATGGGAGTTAACTGCATTTACACTATTATTAATGACACAGTGTTACATACACCGATCAGCCATAACATTATGACCACCTCCTTGTTTCTGCGCTCATTGTCCATTTTATCAGCTCCACTTACTATATAGGTGCACTTTGTAGTTCTACAGTTACAGACTGTAGTCCATCTGTTTCTCTGATACTTTGTTAGCCCCCTTTTACCCTGTTCTTCAGTGGTCAGGACCCCCATGGACCCCCACAGAGCAGGTACTATTTGGGTGGTGGATCATTTTTCAGCACTGCAGTAACACTGACGTGGTGGTGGTGTGTTAGTGGGTGTTGTGCTGGTCTGAGTGGATCAGACACAGCAGTGCTGCTGGAGTTTTTAAACACCTCAGTGTCACTGCTGGACTGAGAATAGTCCACCAACCAAAAATATCCAGCCAACAGCGTCCTGTGGGCAGCGTCCTATGACCACTGATGAAGGACTAGAGGATGACCAACACAAACTGTGCAGCAGCAGATGAGCTATCGTCTCTGACTTTACATCTACAAGGTGGACCGACAAGGTAGGAGTGTCTAATAGAGTGGACAGTGAGTGTTTAAAAACTCCAGCAGCACTGCTGTGCCTGATCATCAAATATGTCTTGGCTGAATGTTTTTTGGTCAAACTATCACTTTAAGACAGAACTCTGGCTCAGTGCAGGGTCAAAATTTAATACATTTTAAGCCCATGAACTTTTTGCTGTGATAGTGTGAACGCTGCTAAGGCCAAAGAGCTTTCAATAGGCCAGTGGGTCTCCACACACACATAATAAATACCTTCAGATATTAATAACTGACTCTAAATGTAGGTATTGTGATATAAACTGAGTCTGTTCTACAGTTTCTCATTAGGCTGAATGAATAACCGACTCTAAATGTAGGTATTGTGATATAAACTGAGTCTGTTCTACAGTTTCTCATTAGGCTGAATGAATAACCGACTCTAAATGTAGGTATTGTGATATAAACTGAGTCTGTTCTACAGTTTCTCATTAGGCTGAATGAATAACCGACTCTAAATGTAGGTACTGTGATATAAACTGTTCTGCAGACTTTTTTTTTTTACCGCCGTTCTGTAAAACTCGTCCAAACAACAGTAGCTATGAATTAGCCACTTGTGGGCAGAGCCTGGAGAGTTCAGTTGTACACAAGAACAGGGAAGACCTTAGTCTTGCAAGACACACACCCTCTAATCCCCGCCCCCATTTTTTCTAGTCCATGCTCTTTAAATCTCCAATCGACAACACAATCAATACAAGCTAGCTAGCGAAATGCTGTTGTTAGCTAGCAAAGCTGTTTTTGAGGTGATGTTTATTTTTATTCTCAATCACATCTGCAGGCTTTAGGGGTTTTTTTCAGCCAGGCTAAGAACCATGTGTCAACGACAGGCATCGCTGACCATCTAATATTGTTGACGAGCGCAGCAGCGCCCCCTATTTTGAGTGGATTGGTTTGGAAATTACACTGTCAGCTTGTTCCCCTCACATTTAGCCCAAATTTTTCTCATGGTTCTCCCCAGATGTTCTTGTTTCTCATGGTTCTCCACAGACCTTCTCGCTACGAGATCACGTCCAGCCCCACGAGAGTACAGAAAAGCACAAAAATGAGCTCAGGAGGCCAACAGGCACCACTCAGACTGTCCTCATTTCCTAATTAGTTATCAGCACAGGCCCCCAGTTCACTATTCATCATTCGCGCCTGGCAGCTGAGGGGGATTCTCAGTCCAGAAACTTCAGCTGGGAAAATGTCGGAGCGCCTCACAGATCGACAGGAACAGTGTTTAGGAGTAAGCAGCGCTGGCTTTGAACTTCAGCAGCACAACAGAGAGAAGCTGGAGGCTGCAAGGGAGGCTTAAGCACCGCAGAATATTTTAATCTTCGGCTAAAACCGCAGCCAACGACGAAGCCTCGCTTCTGAAGCGTCTGGCTGTGTTCTCTCTGGTTCCAATCCCGACGCGAAACAATAACTAGCCTACATCAGTGTCTTTGATCAAAACAGAATGTGAAATGGGCAGCACATGGGGCTCTCAATGATGCCATTGTTCGCAGAGGAATCAACAAAGAGCCTTCCGGGTCCATCAAGCTAAAACTAAAGTAAACTCTCTGCGCTCGCTCTCTCTCATGTCTTGGCCCGTATACGCGGCACGGACCCCTAGGTGGTATTTAGGGTGGTTGGAAAGGAAGGACAGGATCCATACGCCGCCGAGCACAATGGAGTTTTGTGCCGGGTCCTCGTTGGCCAATACGGTCCGGGGGCTTTAAGTGAGTCAGCAGAACATATGGTTGCTGTTCATCAAAGTCAGCTAGGGGTAGAAACCTCCCCCCAGGCATTAAGCTCGTCGGCCGCTGGCCCTCAGCGCCTCTCCGGACTACTAGCAGAAGACAGAGCCTTCATGTTCGGCACGCCTCCCTGGGAGTTCCTCTGTAGCCGAATTAGCATTAGTGCGCCACTCTACCCTCAGGCAACCCCACAGAGCGCTCGGTCCTCCGTTGTGTATTCCCAGCCAAATAAACATTCGGCCAAATTAACACGTAGGGAACTTGATTTTCACATGAATGGACCGTTGCCAGATTGGGCCCCCAGCGCTACTGCCAAATGGGCACACAGTCTTTTTTAAGGGTGGGGGGGGGCACTTATTCCTACTTCTTTACAATAACTATTCAAAAATATCTTATTTGTCTACTTCATTTAAACAGGGCCACTATCCTTTAAAACGTGTGAACGAACCAATAGAAATGCTCCAAAATTGCTCTTTTATTAACTTGCATTAAAGGTTAGGAACTTTTTTGGCTCTGTCCTGTAAAGTTACATTTTGGAGATGCTTTTCTTTGGACAGTGACAACATGCAAAATGTAAAAACATGCTATTAAAAGTGCATTTTTGCATTAAGATTTTGCTTTGCATTCCCAGATATTTCTACACAATGAAATGATTAAGATGTAAACAGAGTCATTCAGAGTGGTTTGGTGTGAAATGCTCCATTCTAGAGAGAATTGTTTAAAGCACTGGTGATAGGAACCAGGCGTCTGAAGCTTTTGTTGCATCTAAAAGCGACACTTAGTGCATGAAATAGTTATGAATTCACTGCCTGATGACTGAGACACTGTTTATGATAGTTAAACTCTTTCATGGTGGAGGGATACATAATATGCAGGGCACTGTGAGGCAAAATAGGTTCCTTTCACAGACAGTGGACACAGCGCAGCACTCCTCACTGTCGGACACAGAAGACTGAACTGAAATCTCGCTTTTGTACTAAAAAAGTGCCTTTTTAAAACTTGTACCCTGCTTTCCAACTGCTGGACCATCTCAACCACAAAGAACGGACCCTCTGCTCAAGACTTAAAGGGGAACTCCACCAAATTTGCAAAATTTGGTTTGGGGTAGTGAATTAAATGGCTACACTTGTGTTGTACAATGAACCTTTTCGCACCAAACCACTCCGAATGATTCTATTTACATCTCAAACACTCAATTATGCAGAAATAAAACTGTAATGAAATATTAGTGATGTAGACGTCGACCCTGCTTCCCACCACCACCAGTTCCACCACTCTGAATGCCATCTCAGTCATGCACCTTTCCTTAAAACGATCAGTGAAATTCACCTTTGAACATCCAACATCTGAACACGGGGGCCCTCACGCCAACGATGAGCCAGAATTATGGCGCCCCCTGCTGCCACACAGAGGCATTGCACCCCATCAGCTTTATATCGAATATAAACTCACTGCAATACAATTAACTGGCTGAGAAAGTGAACAAAAGAGCACAAAAGGATGCAGTGAATGTTCTCAAGGTCATTGTTCTTTAATACAGACCTTAATCTGATATGTTTAGTTGCGTATATGTGTTTAAAAAGTCACAGGGAAAGTTGGAAAAAGTTTGAAAGTTTGAAAGTTTGATGCTCTGATGACTAAGATGAGGCTGAGTATTAATGCTGGTGATATTCGTTCATTAGTTTAATGGTTATAATGATGTATTGTGAAGTAGTAGTGAACGTGTTTAAAGTGCCCATCCCCAGTACAGAAGTTTGAATGAGCAGCACCCCCCCCCCTTCCTTTCTCACTCCAAGTCGTTTGCTCCTCCTCACCCCCGAACCTTCCCCCTTATTAAAACAACTGCCCGGTTAAAAGACTCTTTACAAATGTATGAGCTACAGGACCCATAAACGTGTGGCGTCTGGAAGAAATTAGACGCAGGGAAAAAAGAAAAAACAAGTTTAGTTCACACTAGTTTTTTACTTGGGGGAAAAAACTTGACAATTTATTACCACTTATTACCACTCATATTGACTACTTTTGGGATATTTTGTCTCTTTTTTTTAATCATTTTTACGCAAAAACACAATGCCTGTCAGGACTTTGCGTGCTCCGTGCATGTGAGGAGGACCAGCTTCAGACTTGAACAGCCTTTTTTCCATGGATACAGCGCACAGAAGGGAGCTTTAATGCAGGTTTCTTCTCCACGGAGCCTCCACTGACCGCATCCATCCAGAGGGACACGTCCAGCGAGCTGCTTCAAGGTGAGACCAATTAATCAATTAACCCGTTTCGTTCGCAATCTGGCCGAGCTGGACGAAACTTTGATCTCGGAGCTAAACTTTTCTGGATGCTCCGCGAGAATGAATGAATGGAGGAGGCTCCGTTTCATTGGCCCGGTGAGCTCGCGCAGCTGCCTCCCGTGCGCGTGCGTGAGCGCGCGGCCAGCACGTTTGCCTGGGTTCTCGTGTGGCCAGCATCCCCACACCGACCAGAGCATCTGTAAGATTAGGTATAGTTTACTTTAGCTTTTGTGTCCACTTTTCCGTTCCCCCTTAAATCCTGGAGTCAGGCGTTATAGTAACAACTGCGGCACCATTTAAGGTGGAACGGAAAATTGGAATAGGAAGACGGCTTCAGTTTTTATTTTAATTTTTTTTTTTGGGTGGAGGAGGGGACGGGTGGCTGAAAAAAGTCCAGATAGACAATGTTTGACATCCCCTTACGTCTTTTAAAATAGTCTAAAATAAAAAAAAAATCTGCAGATTTGCTGTTTTAGAGAGGTGACGCAAGCACTGATGTCACACCAATAGCCACGTTTTAGCATAGCTTCAAAAATCACTTTATTTTGCTTCTCATCGCCAATACAACGTTAGTCATGTCCCATAATCACTGTATAGGAATGGATACAAACAGATTTCATTCATTTGGTGTCTTAGCAAACTTCTTACCCTGCTTAAAAAAACCAATAGAAACCAGTAAGTGCTTCTGTTGGTGCCTGATGGTTTTCTAATGCGTTTTGGCTTTTTAATGGGTTGATATCACAATGTAAAGGATCCCAGTGGTTAAACAGGTGACCAATGGCTGATTCTAAATGCATTTGATGGATTCCTAATGGGATCTAAAAGTGTTCTGCAGAAAACTAGTGGTCTCTGTTGGAAACCATTAAGCCAATTCCCATTCATCCCATTCCTCCTTCATCAGCAGGGTTGCTATGTATGCTAAAGCACTTATACATAAGCTCCTACTCTCATATATAGGATATTGTAGGACATAAGGCGCTGCTTGCTACCCTGAGTGACCTGCCATGATGCTTCAGACATTATATATTAATATACAGTTTGTTTATGTTATTAAACTGATAGGACACATTAGAGAGTGAATCCACACTGCAGTAAACTTTAGTCCCAAGTTTGGACGCTCTAGATGAATGAATGGACACGGCTAATGTCTCCACGTGCTTATCCAGTGGTAGACAGTAGTAAAGCTGCATGCACTTAATTACTATACTTAAGTATCCGTACTTAATTAAAGTATTCCCAGTTTCTCTGACTTCACTTTCACTGCTCTACCCTGTGCAGCTTAACTGAATTGTTTGCACCAGTATAGAAGCTGGAGAAGGTGTTTCTTTGGCATTAATACAAAGGAAATGTTGGTCTTTCTACCAAAGTCAAGGGTCAAACTATAGCTAGAATGACTCGCAGTACTTCTACTTTTGATGCTTAAAGGGGAACTCCACTGATTTTAAAAAAATCTACATAATGAAGTGGCTAAGGTGTAAACAGAGTCGTTCAGAGTGGTTTGGTGTGAAATGCTCCATTCTAGAGTCAGAACTGTTCACAGTGGTGGTGATAGGAACCAGACGTCCACCTCTAAAAGCTCCCTCACAGAAAGTTACTACATGAAATGGTTATGAATTCCCTGCCTGATGACTGAGACACTGTTTTATGATAGTTTGGAGAACTTAAACTCCATTCATGGTGGAGGGATACATGCAGGGCGCTGTGAGGCAAAATAGTCCCCAAAGAAAACGTATTATTTCAGATTTTCCACTATTTTCCATCATCAACATTCCATATAAACTCAGAAGACTCGTGTAGGTTCACTGGTGGTTCTGGATAGTAAATACAGTGTCTATATTTGTGTTGTAGTCATGGCGACCCCTGGTTCCTATCACCACCACTGTAAAGACATCTACAATCAATCAGTTATTCCGATATTATGAAAAAATGGTGGAATTCCCCAGTTTTGCACAAATAATATAAATATCTCTGCTCTCATTCGAGTACAGGGTGTGTGTACTTCATTCACCACTGCTTATTCCCAGTAAACTACGCTCCCAGCTGGAGGAGGATCAACGCAGACCTGAACGCAACCAGCCCCGTCACCTGCTCGCCAAATCTGAATGCCGAAAGTTAACCAATCTGACCCCTAATCCCACAATTCCTCAAAATCTCTTAACTACACGATCCATCCAGTCATTAGTGCCATGTTGCCAAATCCTAAACCCCAAACATCCTGACGAAGCCCTCGTCCCACACGCAGCGGTGACGCTACAGCCAGCAGGTCATCTGCTCCCACAGTCAGAGTTCACCACAGTAATTTAGGTGGAGACTCACTGAACTCCAGAAACCCTCGCAGTAAACACAAAGACCCAATTATCGCGCAATAATTACATCTCTTCAGCATCCTTACTTGTGATTAGTCATCTTTTGCCGTGATTGCTAAATTCTTACTTATGAGTCAGCAGTACCCACAGTACTCATGCACTTCTCTCCAGCTTCCATATATATGCATATATTATTACTGTTGGAACAAAACCACAAAACCTTGTATCTCCAGAATGGTAACTTTACAGGAGATGGACAAAACATACAAGTAATATTGGTCCATTCTTCATGAAATTTACACACAATGTAAAGACCAATCAGCACAGAGTATCAGCAATGCCAACCAATCAGTAGCAGCAATGCCAACCAATCTGTAGCAGCAATGTTAAGCAATCAGTAGAGTAACGCTAACCAATCAGGACTCAGTAGCAGTAACGCTAACCAATCAGTGCTCAGTAGCAGTAACGCTAACCAATCAGCACTCAGTAGCAGTAACGCTAACCAATCAGCACTCAGTAGCTTACCGTCTTTGCTATCTTTTGCCTGTATCTCTTTTCAGAATTTTTCAAAATTAATTCATTAAATTAAACTCACTTATTTAGTAACGTTGAGCCTTAATAAACCATCTTGGGTACCTGTTTATCACAACACACATCCATGTGCAAAATCCTGCTGGTGTGGGTTCTTGTGTTGATTTTACCTTTTTTTAATGATGCACAGAAGTTCTGTTTGAGTGCTAGTAGCGCCCCCTTGTGGGGAATCTGAATTATTGTCAGTACAGTCTGTATATTTAATAAAATGACAATTAAAATTCAAATCTTTTATATGCTGCTTCTGTTTTTTCACGGTTAAAATGTTTTACAAGTATTATAATGTAATTTGTGCATTAATAATCTTACTTTATATCTACACTCATTAGTGATTTTATTAGGAACACCAACCATATAGTTCCACTATGTAGGTGTAAAGTTACAGTAGTATCAGCCCACCTCCACCCCATCCATCAATGAAAAGGGACCACCATAGGACCACCACTGACCAGATATTATTTTGGTAGTGGACCATTCTCAGCACAGCAGTGACCATGACATGGTGTGCGTGGTGCTGGTCAAGCAGTGGCGCAGGGTTTTTAGGCACTGTGCTGGACCGTGTGTCCTCCAGGTGGCTTCAGGGTGAATGAGTTGACAGCAGGTCTGGAGGCACAACATGCCTGTTCCTTATTAGCACAGTGAGGCTGGAAGCTGTTTGAAGGAGCTGGAGGCCGGCGTGATGGGCAGGAAGCAGAGGTGAGGGAAGCTCAGCAGAACCAGCTTCTGACCAGAGAGGACCTCCAGACCTCCAGAGCTGGGAGAATGATGGATGTTCTGGTGGTTGGAGTGATCGTTTGGGAGGCGGCTGTGGCAGGACGCCATCTCTGTCGCTCAGTGTTCGCCAGATTCTTCTCTGGCTCTTTCCCAGAGTGCTCTGCTGCCCACCCAGGAGAAGAAGGAGCCTTGTGGAGGCTTGAGGAGAGGAAGATCTCCACCAGAGTCTAGCCGCCGGTTTCCTGTGGATGGATTAAGTCTAGTCTTGGACTAAATTGCAGCGCCGGTGGTAATTCTCCATTGAAGGTCTAGGCTTAGGCTTAATGTGGGTCTGGGAAAGTGGCCAGAGGAGTTCTGAGGGACACTAAGACAACCCATAATAAGCCCTGCACTGTAGATTTAGGGCTTGTGTCACAATATAAAAATCTCATAATTCTTTTTATAATTTAAGAAAGCCAGATGCTCTTTAGGTTATGCAAATTTTCCAACATTTCATGATGAACGGACCAATAGAAAGGCTCCAAAGTCTTGTTACATTAACGTACACTAAAGAAAGGGGAATTCCACCAAATTTCTCTCAATAATTCAGTGTGTGAGATGTAAACAGAGTGATTCAGAGAGGTTTGGTGTGAAATGGTTCAGATGTCTTTACAATGGTGGTGATAGGAACCAGGGGTCGCCATGACTACAACACAGATATAGCCATTTTATTTACTATCCAGAACCACCAGTGAACCTACACGAGTCTTCTGAGTTTATATGGAATGTTGATGATGGAAAATAGTGGAAAATCCAATGTGGGAGCCTTCAGAGGTGGACGTCTGGTTCCTATCACCACCATTGTGAGCTATTCCTAGCATTTCACACCAAATCACTCTAAATGACTCTGTTTACATCTTAACTGTTTAATTGTGCAAGAATTCTAAAAAAAATCAGTGGAGTTTCCCTGTTTTTCCTTGTCCTATGGTGTTACCGTTGTGGAGAAGTTACCAAAAAGGAAAAAGGTGTCAAAAGAACTACAAAACAGTTCCAGTGAGCTCAAAAGTAAAACGGTCCTCTTTTCCCTTTTACTGTAATAACAGTGAAGATGAGGAACTGTATATTATCCACACTATTACAGGTTACAGTAGATTACAGCATCTGTTTGAACCCATGTTAGTAAAACATGAAGGCTGTTTTAAAGAGATCTGCTGAACAGTCTGCTGCTAGCATTCCCCGTTACTTTCCCACACCCAAACACTACCAGCTCACGGATTCATAACAGCTGTCTGGAGTGTCGTCTGTGAGTTAATGTCCTTCAAATGCAGCACAGACTCTAAATACAGTGCAGAGTTGTAGTTAACTCCGATT